CCGATAACGACTCGATGAGTATCAACATTGACTTCACATTCACTCAGTTGAACTATCTCACCCTGTTCAGCGTGGGTTCGGCCAGTGGAGTGGTGACGGTGATTTCCACTCTCGATAGGGAGTCGGGAAGCGCACTCGACTCCAAGTAATTTCCTTTTACATCTTTGAAAAATTTCCGCCTTGTTTGAAAAACATGAAGGATTTGAAAAACTGGATGTCTGAATTTTCTTGTTACAGTAGTGGGCTCTAAGAAAACAGGCCAAATATTAAATAGGTTCAGATATATGTTGCAGCTTAACGACGCTTAAACAACAGCAAAATGAAAAAATCTGTTCTCCGTAATGACCGCGATAACATGAATATCATTATGATAACATGAAAATCAGTAACTATCAAAAGATTGTGACATTATATCAAGATAAGCTTTCTCTTTTTTTTTCCAGGCCTCTGTATGATCTTGAGATCAGAGTGGCAGACCATGGCACTAACCCAGGGCCCCTGACTGCCACTGCAATCATGTGGATAGATGTGATGGACATCAATGACAACGACCCAGTGTTCACCCAGTCCACCTACACCACCACCATCAGCGAGTGTCTGGACCCATACGAGAACATCGTCAATGTGTCCGCCACAGATGATGACTTCGGTAAAAATCATAATGAGACATACAATTCATCAAGTTATTCGAGACAATGTATACAACTACTCGCGATGATGAAAAATGACAGCCATTAAAAAACATAAAATTTCAAAAAGCGGCTGTTAAAGGTCAAGTATTTCTTTAGCTAATTAATTCCTATCTAAACTTAAAATAAACTGTTGGTTGTAAAAAAAAGTTCATGAAATTTTTTGACGTAGAATAATTTTTTTTATATTGACTTCGATTTTTATAAAAATTCGTCAAAAAAATCTAATAAGGATACACTGTTATAGTAGACCAGTGGTTTTGAAAAACGTTTCGGCGATATTTAAAGCTAAATAGGTGAATGAAACTTGTGACATGATTCTAGGCGTGAACTCTGAGCTGAGCTACACGTTTGGCCCGGTCGTCTCTTTCTTCCACCTGGACCCTGGAACAGGCATGATCACCTCCCTCCAGACCCTGGACAGGGAGTCATACCCCTTGGGCTTCTCCTACAAAGTGGTCGCCACTGATCACGGAGTGGTGCCTAGATCTGCAACTGCCACTGTCCAGGTTAATTTTCGACGACGTTGAGTTTTTGAAAATTATATCATTTTTCAGAAAGTCTTTGAAAGTTTTTAACGACGTTTTCTTTTTTGCTTACAGCTATCTAGAATTATCGCTGCAAATCTTGGACGTGTCGAGTTTTTTATACCGGTTTTAAAAATGTTGTTTCCATATTTATGATATAGAGCACCTTTTTTTGCATGATGATGACTAAATTATGATCATTTGGCCACGAGCGTGAGAACCAACCTACAAACTGATCAGCTCTTTACAGAGAACCGCTTTTCGGTCCCTTGTTTAAGACCTACATGCAATTTTAAGGAAGCTACAAGAACTTGGGTGGTCTCCACCGTTGCTAAATTCATCCGTGTACGCATGATTCAAACATTGAAATCATTGAACACAACTTCTTTGCAGATCCTGATCGTGGACTGCAATGACGAGACCCCCATCTTCGACAAGTCCCTCTACACCTGGTACATCTCTGAGGACGCCACCATCCACACCCTCCTCACTACCCCGACCACCCGCCTCACGGCCACAGACAGGGACGAGGCAGGGGACCCCAACTCACAGATCAAGTACAATGTCACGGGCTCAGCTGACGGGGTGTTCGAGATGTTCACCGAGGACAATGGCCATATAAGGACGAGTGTGTTGCTGGACAGGGAGGCACAGGCCGCTTACTCGTTCGACTGCATTGCATACGATCAAGGTGCTCGGTTATTTCATTCTCATGGAGCTTTTTTCGAATTGAATTCAGCAATTTTCACTTTCCGAGTCTTTGCGATCTTGACCGGGGCGCTCTGCAGACGATATTTCATCCATATTGTTAATTTAAGAATAAACCTTAAGAAATCGTTTCCAAAAAGGGAACAGACCCGATGATTATTAACACAACGCATAACAATTTTAAAAATCCATGTTGGAAGAACACCCGAAAATCAGCTGAACAATTTCTTGATTGATTAACTTCGAGACTTCATTTCCACAAAACAGTTGTTTCACCAAACGTCATTTTCACTGTCGCTTTAAACTCGATTGCAGGCGTTCCCCAGTTGACTGGAACTGCGAGTTGTGTGGTGTACCTGGTGGATGTGAACGATGAGAACCCCACTTATGCTCAGTCTTCCTACAACATCACAATCAACGAGAACCTCCCCATCGGTGACGTCATTACTACTATATTGGACGCCACAGACAACGACGAGATGGGAAATCCGAACAGCGAAATCACATATGCGTGAGTTGTATTGTAGAAAACAACATATCACCAATGAACCTTCGGCAATGTCTGAGTGTGTCCTATTGCGAAGTTCAAAATTGGTTATACTTGCCTAGAAAAGCTTCTAACACTCGTACAAAACTTCTGTATAACAAAAATTTTAAAAAATTTCCGTGCTACCTGAAAAAAAAGCGATAAGAAGCCGCGAGAAGAATATGGAAAACTCTTACGATAGCTGCATAAAAATGATTCCGCAATTTAGCTAAAAGTTTGTTGAATCTAAAAGATAACACCATCATTATCGCGTTAACTCAGTCCTTTTAAATCAGAGTTTAATTAACCTTTTAGTTTTGGAATGTGAGAGGAGCGATTTCAGTTGTTATTTAGGTCAGTTCACGCCTGATATTTTTGCAGGATCACCGACTCGAATGGGGACACAGACTATGCGACAGCCACTCTCTACTTCAACTACGCCTCCACCACTGGCATACTCACTGTGAGGAGGGAGATAGACTACGAGGAGACCACCCAAGTCATATTCGAAGTTACAGCCACTGACAAGGTACAATAAACTACATAACATTTAATATAGATCTGTTTCTTTTTGACCACCCTAAAGGGTTGAGAAAAATGCTGGTCCTACAATTTCATTTTGTGGAATAAGAATTCGAAACCTCGTTTTCTTCAATATGAAACTGTTGAGTTAAGGTCTGGGGTGGCCTTCTCATAGAGTAATTTTGGATAGGGTACACCGTCTGTTCGTCACGCTATCTATTTTCGGCCGTATAGGTTCGTGCAACTCCCTAGTCACAATACCACTCATACTCTTACTCTTATATTTCCAAGTTTCAATGGATCTAGCAATATAGTGGCATTTTTGCGAAGTTACAGGAGAAATTAAAGCAACTGATTTCAATCATTATTGTTAATACTCTGAGCCACTAAGGGTTTCAGGTTTACAATTCAAGAGTAAGATTTAGTTATGGATCATTGGTTCGTAATAAATATTTTACAGGGAAAAAAGTGTATATAAAATAACTACTGTTCTATCGGTTCCACTGTGTGACTTTCATTTTTCTGGTATGGAGGTCAACAAGGACTTCCCGCACCGGAGTTCCATGGCTAATAATCGATTATAATGGAAAAATGTTGTCTAAAATGTTGTCATTAAAATCCATTATTCTTGCAAAATTAGACCTTGAAATTGACTATATTGTCATCATAATCGATTATTTTTGTTAAAACACAATCCATTAAAATTCATTATAATGGATTTAAATCAATTTAAAATCCATTATAATGGATTATAATCCATTTAAAATCGATTTTAATTGATAGATTATAACGGAGTATAATCTATACATTTTTTGTAAATTAATTTGCAAAACTTGCAACATTTCTGCGTTACTCACGGCCTACTCGAATTAACCTACCCCCCCCCCCCCCCCACTTTGCCCCCCATCTGTTCGCATTTGCTCAAACCACCATAAATCATAAACCCCCCAAAGTCTACCAACAATAAATAACCCCCCCATAAAGGGGGGCGGATGCGAATGGCGGTCGGTTGTGGTAAACTGGCAGGGAGGTGGGGAGGTGGGGGGGGGGGGGTTGTAAACAGGAGGAAAACGGGTAAGGGGGGTAAACTAATTCGTAGCAACTGCACTAAACAGGAAATGCGATAACTTTGAAAAAAAAGTTGTATTTTTCATGACTAACCTCTCGAAAAATCCATTATAATTGATTATAACCGATTATAAGAGATTGTATTGGCATATAAAATATAAGAAATATAACCCATTTTTAATGGATTATAATCGATTATAATGGATTATATTGATATAAAAATAATGGATTTTGATCCATTTTTGATGAATTATAATGGATTTTTTTTGTAGTTTTATAGATACTGACTATAAAATGACAATATAATCGATTATTATCCATGGAACTCCAGTGCGGGTTATATCCTACATGGAACAAATAGTAAACGTTCTCCACTTGATGGAAACAGGAACTGTACGCTTCTGAAAAAAAAAGAAAACATATTTAGACTTTTGTAACGCGCCCTGAAGGGTATACTACTATAAGAAGAAGCAGGTCTGGTCTCATTCCAGTTTCGTCCTGTATACTCTAATCTTATTCCTTGAATTGTTCGGATTTTCAAATAAAACTTATGTTTTTTCCAGGGAGTTCCGCCGCTATCTGGTACTTCAACGGTGACAATGAACATTCTGGACTTGAATGACAACGCGCCCGAATTCCAGCCGAGTAACTTCTACCACGCAGTCATCACCCCAGAGTACTCGGACTTCATCCTGTGTGCTGAGGAGGTGACCGCCACTGACATTGACTCGGGGCAGAATGGGGTGATCGTGTACTCCTTCAAAAACCTGGAGTACAAGTTCGAGATCGGACCAGACTCAGGTTAGTCTGGGTTAAACTGCGATGAAAATTGTCATTCTTTTAGTTTGATATGCTCAATATGCAGTTTTCACCTCAAGATCCATGAAACTGATCTTCTTTAATTAGAGCTATGGAATTAGTAGTGGCTAATTTTTCTAGAGCTCTTCAGTTTCCACATTTAACAAATTTAAGCGTTAAAATGGTCAAAAACATTACTGCGATAAGATCCTTTATGTCAGTAGTTATAGTGTAGATTAAAAATTTATCTTTGTCTTCCTTGAATGGTTATTGGATGACTCCTTTAAGGGAAGTTCAGGATTACCCCGGACTCTTTAAGTTCCTGGCTTCAATCCATGGTTTTCCCTATGCAATGTAACCCGGCAGTTGTCGGGCTCCCTATATATTCATTTTTACCAATCTGTCTAGGTCTGTTTACAGATTATTTCGACAAGGTAACCGTCTTGTTCCATTCTTTCTCAAATTGGAACCCGCCCAGGTTCGAAAACTGAATTTGGACGATAATAATTTAGACTATACGTGTTAACAGGCTGTGTGGCCCTTCGCCCTGACCAGACTATTCGGCCAGATGACAAGTACACTTTGAGAGTAATAGCCAAGGACAACGGCAACCCTAGACTGTCCTCGGAGGGGGTGGTGAGAGTTGATGTGCTCAACATACAACTGCAGGTCATTCAAATGAAAGTCGGAATCAGCTACGCACAGTTCGACGAAGACGTAAGATAATTACCCGGTTACTTCTTTTCCCCCAGCTCTCTACTCTACTCATTTTTCACTCAATTTCGTTATTGTTCGGTGAGGTTCATGCAGGTGCGGATTAGGATTTTCTCGAGGGGGGGCGGATTTTCAAAAAAAAATTCGAAAATTTTGACATTTTTTTTTAGGTCCACCAAATTGATTTTTCCAGCTCTCCCAAAGCACTGCCTTGACCCTATATTGACTAAATTTTCTGCGCCGCAGGCAAATTTTTGAAAAAACAGTCAAAAAAGCCGTTTTTGGGCACTTTTTGAAACATTTTGACAAAAAAATCGCGTTTTTTTTTGGCGCGCGCTCCCCCTCAAAGTTAGTATATATTGGCGCCAAAGACGCCTTTAGAAAAATTTTAGGTTCGGTTGGCCAAAAATAGATTTCTGAAAAAGTATCAAAGGGGGGACCCTTTGGGTCGGCAGGGGGTCGAATCCCTGAGGGGGGAGGGAGGCGTCCGCCCCCCCTAAATCCGCCACGGGTTCATGGATCATTTTTGAAGCTCCACGCTGGGAATTATCTATATCTACTCATATTTTTAGATTTTTTTCCAAAAAAAACGCGATATGTCTGGAGCACAACTTACCATATTGACGCGTTTAACAACTTGATTGACTTTTTGCTTGACCTTATCATAATCATTCCTACATGACTCTGTGCCCCTAAGTTTTTTCGGGAGATCAAAAAAAGCTCCTGCAGAAGCAAATCTGTGGAAGCAAATGTGTGGGCGGAGATTTTAGATGGGGTAAATTCTGATGAGGTTGCACGGCTCTTTGATACATTTTCTCGTACATCTTAGTTCAAATTTTATCCTCCATTCTGCCCGCACCCAAGTTTCTCGGATAAAAATAGGTTATATTGAGAAAATGTTGCCGAAAATGTTGCCATTATAATCGATTATGTGTAACCAATTTAAGCAACGTTTTCTATTACAATAGAAAGAAAGTAGATTATTTTCAGGAAGATTATTGTTATACCCACGGATTCTGTGTATATCGGTTAGATATGGTTTGAGACATACTGTGTAATAGAAATAGGAAACAAGAAGATTTTGTTATCAACTTAAATTCAATCGGTAAAGTTATGTCTGATTCGAATCTGACCTCGAAATCATGAGAGCGACAGAAACTCATAAATAACTATTGAATATGGTGTTAGGTTTAATAGGTACTTAATTTAGATCAGACATCTATATGATTACGTTTACATAAGGTTACATAAGTAGGTATGGTTAAAGGTTAGAACTATAAACAATCTATGTAACGTGTTTTAGTTATACTGAGTTTTAATGGATATCCAGTATATCCGTACGGATAACATTCCCCCTTCTTTTTTCTATACGATGAGCACATCATATGTTCTCCTGTTTTTTATCATCATCCTCGTTCGGTGGAGGTGAAGTCTGGGGGGCGTTCGTTGCAGATGAGGTCTGTGGTGTTTGTTGGGTGTCCGGTTTGCTGCTTTTCGCCGCCTTCGTGTGTTTAATGAGGTATTTAGGGCGATCTTGTCTCTCGCATTCTCTTTGAAATGTCATAGAGTTTTTCGTTGGCGAAATGGATTTGAGAATCTTCATTGCGTCATTAAAACTTTCAATGAGCGATTTGTCTGGTGAGTAGGAAGTTCCAGTTTGTCTATCAATCACGTAACTAATTGCTCTTTGATTCGGGCTTTGTGGTGAACCGGGTTGTGTTGATGTATTTATCGCCGTAACTAACTTATCACTCGGATTATCCTGTGGTGAAACTGAGTGTGTGGTAGTTTTTGTCGGCGTGCACAGTGTATTTTCTGGATCGGCTGTGTCGCGTATGGAAGTGAAATGAACACCTGTCCCGTCATCGGTTTCCTTGACTCTTAACTGTTCTGGCGTTTCGTCAGTTGTGTTAATTTCGATGCATTCGATATCTCTCGACGATTCGTGAGTCGTGCCTGCTGCCTGAAAAATTGGTTCGGCATTTTGATTTTGCGGATGTTGCATCGTTATTTGACAAACCTCGTTGTCCGCAGTGGTATCATTGGCAATCGTGTTGATCGGAATTGCATTTCCAAACTTATTTGCAAGCGCGCTTGTTTTGGTCCTTGTGGATCTACGGCTCGGTAGGTTTTCCTGGGGCGGCGTGTTTTTCTTGTCAATCTTTTTGGCTGGGAGCGTGTGTGGCGATTGTGTAATATCTTGGTTGATAGAATCGTCCGATGATATTGAGATCGACGTGTCACATTCAAATTCAATGTGTGTGTTGTCTCTGCGTAATTTCTCTGGGCTGCCCTTTCCTTTGCGACTTGGAGACTTGAGGCTTTTAGTAGCCGTTGGTGGGTTTCTCGGAGTTTGTCTTTTCGACGTTGTTGGTGTCGCTTTATGAATACGATGTTGTCCTAGCGCCTTTCGGTTCATCGTTTGCCGGGTGAGTTCCTCAATGTTTTTAGGTGGCTTTCGTTTGGGGCTTGCAGATGTCGATGATTTTTCCGCCGTGTTCTGCTGTTCCTTGGGTGTCTGCTTTTGGATTTTTGAGCCAGTAGGTTTTGTTTAACTCCTGCGTCTGAAATACGGGATTTAGCTCTTGGTAAATGTTTGTATGCTACAAAGTCTTTTAGCTGCGCCGGTCTACATTTTCCGTAATTTCGAGGATCCGGTACAAAAGCTAGACCGTCGTGTCTTATTACTCTCGGTTGTTTTCCATCTTCCCGAACCCACGCAATGTGCGGGAAGTAATTAATGATTGACCCGTTTTCGATTATTTTAAATTGTGCACCGAATACCCCAGGATTTTTTGTTTTACGTGCTATTGTGTGCTATTGTACCCGATTTTCTTGCCACTTGTTCCATATCTTTACCCAATTTTGGGTCTATGGTGTTCTGGGGTCCTTTAAAACGATCTTTTAGAAAAACCAGAGGGGCTCTTTCTACCCTTTGTTTTTCTCCTCCATTCTGCCAAGTTTCTCGGATAAAAATAGGTTATATTGAGAAAATGTTGCCGAAAATGTTGCCATTATAATCGATTATGTGTAACCAATTTAAGCAACGTTTTCTATTATAATAGAAAGAAAGTAGATTATTTTCATGAAGATTATATTGCATTATAATTCCACTAAAATAAATTTTTATCTCCACAATCTCAACAAAATCTATTTTTTCGCCCTGAAATCGCCATGAAATCGCAATAAAATCGCTGATTTAGGGTGAGGTGGCGGCAGACGCCCCTACTCATGTATTCGATCTTTTGGTACAGTTTTATGACATCCGTATTTGATCGACCAACCCCATAACTGTTCTTAGTGCGCCTCGGCCGCAATATTCACTAAATTTGGGGTCAGGGGGAGCGCAGACCAAAAATTTAACTTTTTTGGTCTAAAAGTGCCCAAAAACGTACTATAGCCTGTTTTTAGCCTGCAAAATCTACCCCTCCCTCTCGAGAAAATGCTAAATTGTGATGCTTGCTCCATTGTAATATATGAGTATTTTTCAGGCACAGAGTGAGTTCTCGGCCAATGTGCAGCGGGAGTGTCAGCGTAGCTACCCTCTGTGCAAAGTGGGTCTCATCTACACCCGGAGAAACACATCCAAGCGAAGGAGGAGACGATCTGCATCCACTCTCAACAAGTCACTTTCATTTAATATCATTTTGCTCTTCGTCTTTTCTGGTTTTCTCCGTTTTTGTTCTTTTTTGTCGATTTTTTTCTGGGTAATCAATGTTATTTCTTCTCTGATGTATTTGAAAAATGTAGTTGGCAGGATCAAAAATATTACTGTTTGCTTGTTGAGGATCGTTAGATTGATGTTCGTAGAAGTGTGTACTGCTGCAATTTTGTTTTCTAATGTTATTCTACCCTACCGCAAGGAGTAAATTTCATGCGTTTTACTGATGCGCAATAACTGCATGCTTGTTTATCGTATGAGTAACTAACTATTTTTTGCTCTAGTGGTCAGACTGTGACAGCGTACGTGTATGCGTACAGCAGTGACCTTGACCTGTCAAATGCAGAGGCGGATGCGAACTTCCTCTCGGCCGAACAGATGCTGCTCATGTTCCAAGCAGCAGGAGACGGAACACCAGTGAATGGACTCAGAGATCAAGGTCAGATGCAAACTCTACTTTTAGCAAAAACCTCATAGTGGATCCATGTAGTACGTAGAGCTAAAGTTGATTTGGGCTTCTTTGATCTTGGCCTATTACAGCGGGTAAAAACTTTAACAGCTGGTTTTCTAAAAAAAAAACTGATTTTTGCTTGAAGTTTTTTTTTAAATTTCAAGCAAGACTGCTCGCGTCAGGCCGAAGCCCTGAATGCTCCAACTGCCTTTTAAGGTCTATGGAGCAGTAATAACATGAAAAAGTTAAATGTAATAAAATAAAATGAAAAAAAAATTAAAACAAACTTGAAAACAATCGTTTGTCTGTCGGGCTATTCCTGATACTTGTGTTTTAATGGCAGATGTCTTGATGGAGGTTTCCATTTTTTTGCTTGGTATGCATAAGGCTTCTATCATCCGAAATTAGACCAATTCTACGTCACTCACTACCTAGTTCACCTTTGAAATTGTTTACTACATACAGATACAAGAGTTTTATTCTTCTGTTGAGTTAAAACTTGAGTTACATATTCAAATCATGTGACGCTCAAGTTAAGATGTTTCTTTATTAATGCGTATTTTTTGATTTCTGATTACAAACTAGGTCACCAGTTGTGAATCAATCATAAGATGGCTTCAGTGTTAACTTATTTGTGCAGATGTGTTTGCGAACTACCCAGTGCTCTCGGTGGAAGGGTACCCGAAAGATGCGGTGAAGTTTGCGGATGAGACACCCAACCGGTGGATCATCGCCATTGCCATCATCACCATTCTCCTCATCCTCGCCATCATCGCACTCTACCTCTACTTCTCCCTCAGAAACAAGGACGGCGTAGGGTCAGTCGACAGACATAATTATGGATATACTTCACACCGCCACCGCCCCTTCCTCCAGTATAGCAATCACAACACCCCAGCCTCCCCCTTATACAGTGCCTAAACTGATGCAAAACATAACTTAATTATGTTGCTTCTAGTCTCGTTTAAGGGGTTTGGCAAGTAGATGCGAAAATATGAACTCTTTGTTTGAACTTGAATGAAAGTTTTACGCACCATAAATCTAAACGCTTTAAGGGCTGATTGTCAATTTCCTATCAGAAATCGTTAAATTTTTCTTAAATAATATTTCTGACTGTGTCATCTGATCACTTCAATGTTTTGATCTTTTCCCTGCAAGAAACGAAAAATTTTGAACAAATGAATCGATTGTTGGAATTATTGACAACATAATCTGAATCCAATTTGATCACTTAAACACTATGTGCGAGACTATTTATTTCAACTAATGTTCTTTCTCAGTCTGACACTTGTGAAGCCCACTTACACCTCAGTGCTCGACGGCACCCGAGGAGGGGGAGGGGGAGGAGCAGTGGTTGCCTCTAGGGAGACTAGGCCAACCTACAGGAGGGAGAGATCGAGGGGTGATGATGTGAGGAAGAGAGTGGCTGCATTTAACCAGGCCAAGAGACAGACCCCGGCAGTTGCCCCCACCCCAGCAGCAGCTGCGAAGCCAGACGTGTCCAGACTGCAACGTAAGGACACGCTTTTCCACTTTAATTAGTTTACTGGCTCGAGGCAAAAAGTACATATATTTTTCGTTGGGATCAATGCTGTCAGTTAAAATCTGTTGAATTGAATTAACAAACAGTTAAATTAAAGTTTGAAGTGGAGCCGAAAAAGGAAATTTCACGAAATATGAGAGCATTAGAGTTGTCTCTCAAGTTTGGGCGCATCTAGGATGTGCTCGAGGGTGCATACACAAAAGAGCGCGTACCAAAAGAGTGCACATTTAAGTATCAAAAGAGCGCACATTTAAGTACCATAATGTTTAAGTATTGATTAAGTACTCTTTTGGTACTTAAAAGTGCGCTCTTTTGGTACGCGCTCTTTTGTCGGTGTACCGTTCTCGAGAGGGCATTAAAAAATAATTCAACCTCTCCTCTAAGGTAGATCAAATAAACTTGAGCCACAGAAAACACCATGAAGACGCTATTTTGCTTTAAGAATATCTGAGAAATACTTTTGACAAAAATTTGTTCAACGGTTGCGTGTATTCGGGGCGCTCTTTCCTCAAGTTTAGTGAATGTTAGCGGCCTTAAAATTTTCAAATGCAACCTCCCCCAGATCTGCCCTGCATCCGCGAATGTATGAACGCGTGTGTTTGTGTAGAGAAGTCAGTTGCTCCAGTGATAGCAGCTGTTCCAGTGGGGAAGCCGTCGGTGGTCGAGAATAAGGACAGAGGAGAGAGGGAGAGAAAGAAGTCGGGCGGCAATTTAAATCTGGAGGACGACAAACCGGATGGGCAGCAGGCGGTAGCCCCTGTATTCATCACTAATCCAGTAAGCAAACATTATTCCGTTTGCAAGCCTAGTGATAAATGCATTGACCAAACTTTCCCCTGTTAAGAAGTAATCGCAGCAATCAGTTCTCCATAAAATCTTGTTGGACATAAATCTAGCGTCCGCATAAGAGCTGTTCAACCCATCAAGTGAGGCCCATTTTGGAAAGCAAATGTCGAATTTAAAAAAAAACACAGGATGCGGGCAACGGCGCACAGACAATTCGGCCAAAGACAATTCAGCCAATTTGAAATTCAGACAATTCAGCCAAAATTATACAGACAATTCAGCCTGAGACAACTCAGCCAGTTTTACAAAACGCGAGATTCGAAAAAAAAATCGGAATTGGAGATATTTCTCGGTTTAAGGTCGCCGGTGGGCGCGTTACGCGCGCGTCGCCGCTTGGCGGCGATAACCGGCTCTAAATTTCGTATAGAGTCCTACCCTCTCTTGGCAAGCTCACAACACGTTGGCGCGACTGCGGCGGTCACTATTACTGGCTGAATTGTCTCTGGCTGAATTGTCTGCATACTTTTGGCTGAATTGTCTGAATTTCAAATTGGCTGAATTGTCTGTGGCCGAATTGTCTGAAATTTTGATTACATTTATTTTTCTGGAGCTATTACCAACCTAAGGTGTTGCCGCGCCTTAGGTTGGTAATAGCTCCAGAAAAATAAATGTAATCAAAATGTAAAGATCTGATACGGTTTTTGAACATTTTTCTTGATAACTTGGATCCACATCGGTTTTCTTTAGAAATGTTGAGCTCTTGATTAGTTTAGTTTCGAAATCAATTATAGAACTATGAATAAAAACAACTCGAGAAAGACAAGAGTAGCCGGCTCTGTTCTGTGCAAGTAGCACATAACTTGCCGACCATAGTCTTATTTAAAAAAAACGAAAATAGCATAAATAGGTTAATTCCAGCCTGTTCACTCGCCCAAGTTTAGACGAAAAAATCAAAATTTCAACCGGTTTTTCTTGACACTGGGGACACTTTTTGGAAATTATTGAGGCCGTTCGAATAACGATTTAAAAGGCTTGATCATGGTGTATCACTCGACTCGGTCCAACGATTATATGCGGTATCTGATTTTGCTTATAAAACAAAAAATTGAAAAAAAAAAGAAAAAACAGCAAAGATAGTCGGTTGTTGTGCAAATAGCGCAGAATGTTCCCACCATAGCAGAATTTGTGATTTTTTGCAAAAAATTTGTGATTTTTTTTTCAAATTTTGATTAATAAAAAATTTTGCTGAAAAAATTAACTTTGCTCGAAATTAATTAATGTTTCACGGCTTAAATAAGCTATTGTAAGCCTGCTTGCTGACCTTATTAGCTCAAATTAGACTAAAAATCAAACATTTCAAACCTGTTTTTCTCGACACTGAGAAAATTGTTTTAAGTTCGTAAATATCTTTCGTATCGCGACTATATATAACTCAACCCATTCCGATGATTATTTGTGGTAATTGATTTTGCGTGGAAAAAAAACATAAAAACTAAAACACACCCGAATACAAAGCTCTTCCGCATTTTTCAACTGGTTGGAACAGAAACTAAAACAGACCCGAATGCGAAGTTCCATCCCGTTTTCAGTAGTCGGAACAAAAATTTTTTGGCTTGTTTCTGGCATTGAGTTTTTTTTCTATTTACGCACCTGTCAAATGGTCTAAAGTTTTATCTAGAACCCGCTTTGAAAATGTGGTGGTAGGCCAACAAGTCGAAGAGCCAACAAACCAAAAATAAGATTTTTATTCCAACAAGTCGAAAATTAATATTGTTATGCAACATAAAAACAGATAGTCATTGTTGTCAAGCAATTGTTACGTAATTCTGATGTAATTTACGTGATTCTGATGCAAGTTCGGCTTCAAGATATGGCGGTTTGTAGACATGACGGTTTGTTGTTTATCCGCCAAAAATGTGTTTAGTTTGCTTACTTTCACTCAAAAAATGAAACCCCTTATCGCTAATTTTCTTTGCTGATTTGACATTTTAACGCATTGATCTCCGTTTGTTTCATAACTGTGTAAAGCATCAGAAATAGACTATGAGAACCGAGGGCCTCTAATTTTTATGGTCATTCATATCAAAGACCTTTCAAAATATACTAAATACGCAGCGGAAGCCTGATTCCTGCAACGGTTTATAGTAGATAGTCGGTCATCTCAATACGTGCATGTAGAGCCAATATATGTTTGCTCAAATTTCACACCGGCATGATTGAAATCAATTGTTTTCTATCCAGTAAACGTAAAGATTTGTGAATATTCAGCTCACGACTTGACGTGAACTTATTGGTCTATCAATTTTTTCAACTTATTGTGACTTTTTTTGCTCAAAAATAAGTAAAATATGGTAAACTGGGAAAACACACAGAATTTAAAAAGATTCATTTTTTGCTTTGTGTACCCATTTGTTGATAATAGGATCTGCTGAGTTTTTGTATTGATGCGACTAGGACTATTTGAACGTTTGTTTTTCAAATGTCTTACAGAATGTATTGAGAATAAAGGACTCTATTGAATTCCTTTTGAAGTCTCCTTGAAGTTTTGCGAAACTGGCTAACTTCAGAATCAAGTAAAGGGTAGGCAACTTCGATAGTGTTTTAATTTTGTTTCCTTTTTTATAACTACCGTTACATGAACTAGTTTAATTTAATTTTGACTTGCGACAAAGTAAAGGTGACTCATTTAGGTATAAGACAGCTATAAAGCCCACGCCTCCATTTTTAATTACAATGTTTGCCAGACTTCTATGGTTGCTTTTCACTAACTCATTTTTGTACAATCAATTTGGTAACAAAATCATTTTTGAAGATTTTAAAATCTTCATGATGGCATCTGAGTGATCAATTTATTAGACAACCAAAGAATCATTGGAATATAGAATCAAATTTAGTTTCAGAAAGATAGCTTTCACCACCTGCCCATTTCAGCACGCAACCTTGTCACTTGTTATAGTTTTTGTACAAAAATTCATTTTGTTAAGCTACTGACCAGTTCCTATTCCCCCAGGGTGAGAACCAGAACGGTAGAACGGTTTTTTTTTCAATCGCTTACTCTAACATGAGTACTTTTATATTACAGTTTTTATGCGAGTTGTCAACTTCTTCCACAAATTTACTATCACAGAAAAGTGGTGTGAACTTCATAATAGTACCGCTTGTTTTACCTGGCTTACACAATGGAAGACCTGCCTTGACCGACACCGCATTTATGTACAATGCTTTCTAGCTAATTTTTTTTCCGCCGCATTATTTCGAGACGCAATTTTGACACGAGCTTTATGGAATTTATTATTTCAATTCTTACTTTAGTATATTTTCTTGCTGGGAACCTCGAACTTTATATTAATAATTTCATAAACTAAGTTTCTTGAAATGGAATTTATTTTGTCTAGAATCCGTGTTACGTTAAGATTATGTCCGCGGATGTGGATCAAGAAAAGTCTGTTTTTCAGCAAGCAATGTTTTCATCTTTTTCCAACGGCTTCGCAACTCAGAAAGTGTTCTAAAGGTGCCTTCGGCGGGAAAGCGCTCTACAAAAAAAGCAGTTCTGCGTTGAAGTCTTCAAAAGAAGTCCTCGCAAATTCTGTTTTTGCCTTTAAAAAATTTTTTGAAAACTTTTCTTGAAAAAGGTTGTTTTTAGTTGGAAGATCTCAGAAAATCAATTTCATCAAACTTGAGGTACCTCAAAAAATTTTAGATCGAAAAAACTAAAACTAGCACTCATTTCATCTTGTATTGTAAATGAATAATCATGGTAAAATAAAAATATTAGTTTCATGACAAAAACAATAAAGGCAATAACTTAAATCTTAAATAATTGAAAGAGAGTGGGAACGTTATTTAGCACCAACGTTAGCAGCGGTTAAACAGGTCGCCAACGACCTTAGAGTGCAATGACTTTGACCTTAGAATAGACAAATGGAATAAGCATGATGATATAACTAAGTGCGTCTACCACGCTGCAAAACATTTCTCCCTCTGGGAACAATTTTGGGATCAACAATTTGGGTTGTCACTACAGGACTTTTTCGACCGTTTTTGCTAAGAGAATTCTGTTAGCCGAAAAACTTGAATGAATGAGAACCGGCATAAGATTTTTTCTGTTGACTTAATTTTATTAGTAATGTAAGTATACCATTGACACGGACGATTTTGCCTCCAAAAAAATGTGAATAATTTTTGCCCCAAATTCGTAAATAAAAATTTCTGGATTATTTTTACTTTTCGGCTATGAAAACAAATAACGGTCTAAATTAAGTTTAGTGCCAGAGAAGGGCGGCAACTGTTCAGTCTGTATTTAAATTCAGATCCGCAAAATTTTTGCGGAAAAATGTGTCCTAAAGGTCACGGCTTAAACTTGATTCCGCTCAATCAAAACATTGAGAGTACGAATTCCCTCATCATGAGAGATTGTCTTCGTGTGCGAGAATTTTTGCCACAAAAACAGGCTTTAATTCTTTGGAGTTCTCCCTTTTTGTCTATACTAATTTGACTGTGTCCGGTTGTCCTGTTCGAAAGTTTCTAACTTTTTTCTGAAAACGTTGGTTCCTATTTGATTCTTATGTGATCAACTCCAGCCTCTCTCGCTCTCTAATCTTGCATGACAAAACTCCAGCCTCTCTCGCTCTCTAATCTTGCAGACGTTCGATTCTCAATTTTTTTAACCTTCTTGAGCAACAGCTCACAATTTTCGAAAAAATTGTTTTAAGAAAATGCGCTGAGGTCCCTATGCAGATAATTTTGAAAGAAGCGTTTTCTACTCTCTGTACCTAGATCTAGATTTAGTTCTTTGGCCCGATTCGAGGAATCAAACACCAAGAGCTACCCTAAGGCCTTTGGCTCTCTTCGTCGTTTAGTTCATCCATTTTAAGTACAGCTGCAGCATCGCGCGTGCTAAACGATCAGCCTGTGTTGCGGTTTCTTCGGATGTTCCATTCTTCGGATGTCTTGGGGGATGGTCATCGTGAACATATCTTGGAGTTTTGTAAGCTGTCGCGGGCAGTGATGTGCATTTAAATAATCCTTTTAAAGGATATTTAAAGGATCCTTTAATTTTTATGCCCTTTTTATACCAATCCTTTAAAAGGATTTCATTTAAATGATCCTCTAAAAATTACAAATTAAAGGATTAGTCGCTTGCCTTGCGTCATAGAGCCAGTCTTTGTGCTTGCTTCTTATTGGTTGGCGGTTTATGTTGGTTGGTTTCTTATGTGTTTGCATAGATATAAAGAATGTTATGCACGTAATTACGTTATGAACTAGAATGTAATTGGATGTTACGCTCTTTCAACTATTACTAGCAATGTTGGAGGAATGTTATGCACGTTGAATTGAATGTAACATTGTTTTAACTTACCTTTGCATCAATAAAGTACTTAATTACGTGAACTAAATAAACAATTAGTTATGGGAAGAAAGTCGTTTGCCACTCGACCATTTCTAGAGCAGCATTTCGAGTATTTAAATGGTGATAAATGCTACAAATGCACTGTTTGTCCCAAGAAATTATCAGGAATTGTTAAAACAAACTTCACAAACAGTGCTAAGGATCATCTGAAGAGGTTACATCTTATTTACACTTCTTAGAGTCAAGTGGCCCTGCAAATCAAATGAGATTATCAACCAACAATTCTGTTGTTACTGAGAGGGAAAGAAAACGTCGTAAAGTATCCTTTGCATTTGCTTCAACGCCCTTACCAATGAATTTGTTCCGGAATCCTGTTCAAAGGTCTTTCCTCCAGGCTCTTATAGAATACCAGTCTATTCCTAACTTCAGATCAATCGAAAATGACATACAATCGATTGCTAGCGAAAACCTTTCAAGAATTAAGGGAGCGAACTATTTTGGAATACAACTTGATCATTGGAGCGACGTTCGTGGTGAACAGTCTTTACTCGTTACCGTATCAACAATTGATCTAAATTGGACACAAATACTTCAAGTTCTTGAATTTATGGTGGTTGACAGTACTAGATCTGATATAACTGTGCAAGAAATACACCGTGTCTTGGAAAACTGTGAGTTGAATCCTAAGAAATGCATCGGAATACAAAGTGACAACTGCTCTGCTATGGTAGCAGCCGCTTGACAAATGGAGCCGTGAAGAAAGAATCCATCAAGAAGCAAGAAATTTCTGTGCAAGGTTGTACACGACACTTTCCCACATACGGCGATTTGGTGATTTCTCTACTGTATTTTGTGCGGCAACCTTGCTGAGTCCAAGTAAAGACAAAACATCGGCACTGATGCCTTCTGAAGAAGAAAGAGCAAAGTTGTACCTAGAAGAAATGGGCCGAAGTTTGACGACTGAGGAACCCCACATTTTACAAGCTACAGTAGCCGAAAGTGAAACAATTGAACTTATTGACAATCCTATTGAAGACATATTTAAAAAAAATGTCGTGTGTCCCGAGAAACAGCACCCCACGTCTCTGTGTACGACATTCAATAAAGAATTTTCTGATTTTCTTGCTATCGATGAGGACATTTTGGCATTTGACTTCTTCAAACGAGAAAACAAACGTTTTCCAAGGTTGTCGAAAGTAGCAAAAGCTATTTTATCTGTAATACCCTCGCCTGCATTAGCGGAAAGAATGTTCTCTAAAGCTCAGAGTCTGACGGAATGCAGAAGAAATTGTCTAAAAACTGAGAACTTGAAACTTCGATTACAATGTTTACTGTAATGTAATCATTTAAAGGATCCTTTAAATAAAATTGTTATCCTTTTAATTTTTATTTTCCTTTAAAAACTGTTTAAATGCACATCACTGGTCGCGGGTCACATTTCTCGCGCTGACTAATCGAAAAATTAAATTGTACTATCCATCTTTCCCAGATGCTTGGCGTAGGTTTAGGCCAGATAGGTTTAGGCCACTAGCGGCTACTCCCAATAAAGATGTTTGGTCATCTACGATCGGAACTGCTGGCTGCACTATGTGGTATCTCGATAAACTCTAGTTTGACAAACTAAAGTCAAGGATTTATTTCATCTTGTATTGTAAATACATAAGTATGGTAAAATGAATATTAATATCAAGACAAAAAGAGTAAAGGCAATAACCTAAATTTTACATGAATTGACAGAGAGCGAGAGCGTTATTTAGCACCAACGTTAGCAGCGGTTAGACATGTGGCCAGCGACCATAGAATCCAACGACTTTGATTTTGGAATAGACAAATAGAATTTACATGATGATATAGCTAATTGCGTGTACCACGCTGCACCACAGACCTACAATTAACAATTTTTCTGACCTCTCAAAAATAAGTTTCCGCGCATACCACTGGTTGAATGCTAGCATTGAAAAATAGTTTTAGAATTATGAGACTTAATTAAGCTGCGGTTTCAGCTAATCACCCATTTCTTGTAGCTTTACAAAAACAAATCTTCAAAAATCTAACTAAATAATTTTTTAAACGTGAAAAAGACAATGTGAAAAAATCATAATCATTTCATTATAAATTTGCCAGTTTTCAAGCACTTTTCGGAACGTTTTGCTTAGAAATTTGCGCGTTTTTTTTGGCACGTGATCCCCCTCAAAATTGGTAAATAATGGCTCCGAACGCCTCTTTAGAAAATATTCCGAGCAGACCAGCAAAGAATGATTGTCCTAAAATAGCTCCAAAGTGGGACGACACTTAAGATGGTCAGGGGTTGAACTCCTGAGGAGAAGGCAAGGCGTCTTCTTTACCCCTGAATCGCTAATATTGCTACTTAATCTTTTATTGCAAGTTGCTCTCCTCTATTTAGCTGTTGGTGAAAGAGAAACCAGAGGCGAGCAATGAGCTGGATGACTTCAACGGCATGGCCCAGGATCCAGGTTGACACAATTTATTATTACTTGCCATAAGGAAAACCCGATACATGTTTTTTGAAGTTTCATTTAACCCAATTCTTTGAAAAATCATCTTTTTAACGGATAGAACTCCAAAATGTACCCCAAACCGTTAATTTTTTTCCCGACTTTTAAAGAAGAAGAGGGAATATTTGTGCTGTTTTTTCTTTAGGTAAATTTCGACTTTTTAACTAAGCCATTTTTGACGTGCTTTTATTTCATCTAAGATCTACTGATGCCCTGAGCTCAAAATCAAAATAATATTTCACCTGAGACAAAAATTCGTAAGTTTATGGGCTTTGAAATTTGCCAGTTTGACCAATTTGGGACAATTAACGCGCTATATATCGTTCTATTCAACCTTAAGCTGCAAAATAATCCAGTTCAGAATTCATTGCAAAATAAGTTGAGGAAACTCTATTTTTTTTTCATGCACCCGTTATTAGACCCGTTTCAAATCATGTTGAAATCAATCCGATGACATTTTTTTTAAAGAAAATGTCGCCATTTTTCAGCCAAAAACTATTTAAAAGACAAGAATTGGCTGTCAGAATATCCAATTTTTTGCCCTGATACGAATAGTCTTTAATATTTCACAATTTCAGCGACTGGGCGATTCTACGCGTACAACAACAAGACAGGAAAGAGGAGGTGGCTGCGCACGAAAGAGATTGACGTGATGAAGGCCAAACTGAACTAATAAATAAAAAAAACTTATCGACGACATACCACACGACACGCCTCAAGAAACAGCTTCGAAATTAAACAACTGAAGTGTGTACACAATTACTGGAACATTGAAACCAATATGGAAAACTAACAGACGTAAACGAATAGGAAATTAACCTAATCGAGCTACTTGCCATAATTCACAAGAATTAGTTAGAAGAAATGTACATATGAATGGAACCATAGACTGATTGTTATACGTCGCATAGTTGCTGGAACTGAAAATCAAAACTCCAGATATATGCGAAAAAATGTAAATAAAGTATACACATAACTTTTGCAGAGCCACACATACTCGGGTCAAGGTGCTCACTTCATTTTTTGACTTCCTAAGTTCATTCATTTTTCGACCCGGGTCATGGTGTTCGTCTTCGGGGAGTGGTCGTGAAGTGGTTACGTCTCCGCCTCTCAGTCGAAAGGTCGGATATACGAGGCCCACCATGATCCGTGCTCATTACTTGAGGGTGAAGCGACATTACCCAGCGCAGAAAAATAACCAGAAAAAGTAGTTCTTAAGCTGGGGCACAACAGCGGTTCGCCGCGATGAGCTGTACAGCTCGTATTTTGTTGCTTTCCCTCGTGGATAAATGGTCTTAAAGCACAATCTCATTTCTCGACCAAATATTCATGCTTTCGATGTGGATAGGGTCTAGTAGCAATTCGGGGCATGGTCGATTCATGCCCAAATTCGGCCGAGTCTTTTTTGTTTCGGGTATCAAAAGTGTTTCAAAAAGCTCCAAAAAGGTAAAAACAGCTTAAAGAAGTTGAAACAGTTGTAAAGTTAACCTGGGAGTGTTTATTGCTTTCCGCAGTAGCGGTAAGACAGACTAAAAACCTGAAATATTTGACATTTTGCTGAGAAATCATCATGGGGTCTTAACCACAATTTTGTCCCCGCCAGAGTGTTATTTGAGGAAGCTGCTTTTGAAGCAAAAATATCTTAAACCGTAGTTTTGCCCAGTTCTGGAGGTGATCAGAAGAATAACTGATCCAAAAGCTCGAGACAATTGAATTCGGCTGCTCTGCTAGTACCACAAATTATTTTGACTACAGTAGAACATGTGGCAAACAAAAACAAAAAAAGATGAAAAAGTTTTTTAATTTGCTTTTCATTGTTTTTCCAAAGTTGCTGGAATCGGTGGCAGGGGCTTCGTTTGGATGATATTCCGCAAAACTGAGTTAATTTAAGCTAAAATTATGTTGTTAAGACGCAAAAAAACTAGATAGCAATCTCACTTTCTCGCTCGTTATTCTCCAACTCTCTCGTTTTTGGACATATAAATTAGTTTAAGAAACGGAAAAACTGAGCTAATATTTAAAGCAGACATGTTTTACGCACCCAGTGCCCCTACGCCAAAGTTCTTTCTTTTTTATTTTAATATCTCCATTTTTGTTTGGCGGACTCTAAATTTTTTAGGGCGCCTTCGACGCCAAATATACTAAATTTGAGTGGGAAGCACGCGCTGAAAAAATGCGATTTTTTGGTCAAGATTTTCCAAAAAGTCCCAAAAAAACGGGGATTTTTTGGACCAAATCCCCAAGAAAATTTGGTCAAAATACGGCCTAGTAGTGATTTCTGAGAGCTCTAAAAAGAGATTTCCAAAAACAAAAAGGCCAATAAAGTTTCAAATTTTCCTAGATTTCGAAATTTTCGTAGATTTCTTAAATGAAAAAGGTCGATGAAACATCAATTTTTTTTGAAAACGCGCCCTCCCTCGAGAACATTCTAGATCCGCCCGTTTCGGACCCGAAAATAGTTTCTCTAACTTTCCATTTTTTGCATGGCTCAGTGAGTGGTGTTAGCGGTGATCGTGTGCAATATTTGGGACAGCTCGATGTTCAATTTGTCAAAACTTAACTTTTTGTCTAATTTGGTTGTCAAAATATGGTCATATTTTCATTTTTTCAGGTTGCTTCAACTCGCGAACAAATCACCGGTAGATTTTTACTTGAGCATCCTTATGATAGCCAAAAACAGGTTCAGTTTGACTCTATTTGATGAGGTAAGGTTCGCTTGCTTTGATTTAGCGAGGAATGCTCATTCTCAGAGTGAATTTCTGATACTGAGTTGTGTGCTGAATTGTGGTGAAAACTAATTCTAAAAACTATTTAGGCAAACTTAGCCAGCGTTAAATTTTCTGTAATTAATGGGGCTTTCAAAAGTTTCAGAAAAAACTTTTGTGGAACAATTGATTGTAGTTTTTACTTTTAAATGTATTTTCAACGAGTCTTAAAAAACATTAAAGGCCTTTAATGTTTTTTAAGACTTGTTGAAAATACATTTAAAAGTAAAAACTACAATCAATTGTTCCACAAAAGTTTTTTCTGAAACTTTTGAATGCCCCATTACAGAAAAATTAACGCTGGCTAAGTTTGCCTGAATAGTTTTTAGAATTAGATTTCACCACTATTCAGCACACAACTCAGTTTTATAAGGGTTTGCATTGATAGTGGCACAGTGATTGTGTAACCCCAAGTGTAGTATAATCAAGGGCGGATTTGGGGGGGGGGGGTTGGTTTGGGGGAGGTTGCAGGTGGTTTGGGGGAGGTTGTGGGTGGGGGCCTTTTTTTTTTTAGCTTTTTGGCCTGTTTTTTCAAAAATTTTCCTCCCGCTCAAAAAAACTGTCCAAAACAAAGTCGCTTTGGTGCTTTGGGAAGCTCAAAAATCAATTTGATCTGTTGCAGTGCAAAAGTAAATGCAAATAAAAGAAACGAAAGTGTGGAAGTAAATAAGAACTAATTGCCAAGCGGTCTAGGACAAACGCTGGACAAAATAGTTGACCGGATCGGCGTAGGTTCGCTTCACACAGGTACTCATATTATAACATACTAAAATAGGGGGTGATATCCTATTTTAACCGTTTTTTCTCTCTAACAGAGTTCAGACATGTTTATGTCTGGTCTCCAAAAAAGAGCAGTTTTTCTCAAGGGTAAATACCAATCTTTTGAGTGCTTGCTTTGAGTTTGCTGCTATAAGTTGTTGTTATGATTGATATAAAATGCCAAAATTAATAGTTTCGATAGTTATTTGCCAAAGATTTACTCATCTTAGACTACGTTATAAACACAAAAATGTCAAATTTTGCATGCAAATGTTTTTTTCGTAAAATTCATATTTTAGCACAAATGCAAATTTGCAGCCGAAAAAGGGATTAAAAATTTTTTTACCTCAAATTTTTATTTTTGTTTGAGAAAAAAATGCATAAGCATTTTTCTTCTATCGACGTCAACCCGGGACGTTTTCAATTTAGTTTTCCAGCAACACAAAAGGGACACGACATCAGTTCAGTATTGCAGTAACCTAGCCTTGGACATGATCCGGGATAGACTTGTTTTCAGAAGCTGTACAAGCGTATCGCTCCAGACTCGAATGTATCCTTCCAGACTCGAGTGTATCCATCCGGACTCAAGTGTCTACTTGGACTCGAGGACCTCGGACACGAGTGTATTGGCCTGGACATGAGTGTATCCTTCACTGAGAGTGTTAAAGATCAATCTGTCGAGAGTATTAGCGAATTGGCCGAGAGTGTTACCCAACTGGACAAAACTCGTCACAAACCAGTTGATCGGAATTTTCAGTGTGCCATTGACCGAAACTCGTCAGAGAGTGCAGTTAGACGAGAGTCTTCGCAAGGGCGAGTGTAGGCTGAATTTCCAGTTGGCCGAAACTGCGCTGCTAGCCGAAAGCTGACAGAGGCTTTTTCAGGTGTCCTGATTGTGGACTTTGGATCGATGTGGGCTGTTGTTTTTTTTTGTTGAAATCAAAGTTTTTGGCCAAAAATTCCAAAAACTCAACGAAACTTTGCTATCGTTGACATCAAACACGAGTTAAGTGATCTGGTAGTGTAATATCAGGCATAATAATTTGAATTTTCTAAGCCGCTGTTTTTTTCCGTGTGTGTTGTTAGAATTCAATCAACGTACTTAGTTCGCAACTCCATCTTCATCTTAGGAGCTAGTTCGTTACATCAAGCGCTTCGCATACCGTAAAGCCATACAAAACAGGTTCAAGGCAGAGGCTTAAGGCAGTCAATCTATTACCCCTGAAAGTTAACCTATCAGTGATAACACTCCTTGTGAGTTTTTAAGGACTGCAAGGTTTCAAGGTCTTTAGCGCTTGTTTCATTAACCAAGGAATGGTTTCTTTTGTAAACCGAGCCCCAATCGAGCTTACCAGTCGGTTTTTGAGATTCCTTGATCTTAAAAGTTTTCCTCTCACAAAAATTGTTGTAAAAATATTCGTAAATGAGAATTTTGATTGATCGTCGTTGTAGTTGATTGTTTATGTCATTCAAATAAACCATTCTTTCAAGCTTCATTTGTTACCTTTAACGCATCGAGCAATTAGATTAAGTAAAATCATGGAAAAAATGTTCATGAAAATAAATAATTATTTAAAAACAGAGACTCCACAGATAATGATCTTAACAAATGTCATGTTCTGGTAGTAGAGTACATCGAAAATCGAAGCGGCTCGACAAAAATTGAAGAAATCATTATAAAATGTTAAACATTGATGGAACAGGCTTTTGATTTAAATGAGGAAACCATTCATTTGGCTGGAAAAGCTGAGTACCCAGACAAATACATACCCAAACAAGATCTTTGGCTCCACAAATTAACAAACTCTGATAGTAAAATTTAACAACAGGTTTAAGTTCAGAAATAACGTTTAAAAATCAGAGAAGCCAATGAGACTGTAGTAAAAACCCAAAAGGAGGAAAAATCTGGCAATATTAGGACTAAACCTTTGGTTCAATTTGGATGCATTGGGTCAGAAAAATCAAATGTAGCTTTTAGGAAATTGAACACAAAAAAAACGCATGATTCAAGCTCACGTTCCATTCGATATGCAGCCGCATTGGAATCTAAGACCTCTAGTGATATAAAACGCCATATCGCATTAAAAAGTTGCGGCAAGAAGAATTTGCGAGGCAGGCTATCGTAGCTTTGAAGTTAGAACTACAATAAAATGAATATTATTTAGAGGCATTAGCTGAGGATCAAAATAGAAAGCTAAAAAAAGTCGAGTTTGAAGGCTTGCAAATAGAAGATGGCCGTAAAATTATAGATAGGACAAGTTTAACGACAGTCAGTCTTCAACTTGATAATAAAAAGGAAGAAGATCGTAATAATTCCTGCGTTGATTCTATCACAGACCAATTTGTTACTGACTGGGCCACCCAACCGGAAAACCTAGTTAAAGATGAACACCCAAGGTTTTCCACAACGGGCTTGCCGTCAGTTCCTGAGTTTCATTGAAACTCCAGTCATGGTTTCACTGCTGGGCATGGAGCATCAAGCGATCCTGGTTTGCTATCGGT